GCACGCCAAGCTTTTTAGAGGCCAGTTTGGCCTTCTCTTCCAAGTGAACACGAAACTGCACGTCACTCGATATGTCGACGCCGAGGATTCCGATACTGGCTGAGGCAACAAGGGGAGTGCCTTGAAACTAACTAAGGAGATACGACAAAGGGGTTCTTTTTAGCGGTTAACGCGCAAACTTGTGTCTTCTGGGGGTTAAACCGGACTAGATTTAGTCGCCCCCAATCCGAGACTCTGTTCAGCAAAGACTCGGCTTCAGACACAAGTTTGTCCTGGCACTCGGAGACGTTTTCCCGAGAAATCTTGGCTCGGCCGGTGTAAAGAGCATTACCAGTGCTGTCATCTGCATAGCAATGAATGTTACGGGTTTGCAACATATCATTGATATGCAGAAGAAACAGCGTTGGCGATAGGACGCAGCCTTGTGGAACACCAGCATTAATAGACTTGCAATCGGAGCTTGCACCGTCTACAACGACCTTTATGCCCCGATCTGCAAGAAAGCTGGTGATCCAATCGCACAATTTCTCGGGAAGCCCATAGGAAGGGAGCTTCAAAAGAAGCGCTTTGTGCCAAACCCGATCGAAGGCCTTCGCAATGTCCAAACTAACGGCCAATGCCTCCCCCCTTGGACTCTACTGCCTCCGCCCATCTGTGAGTTAGGTAGACCAGAAAATCATCAGCTGACCGACCACGGTCTTCTTCTCTGTGGGTTGTGTTAAAAACGAAAACCGTAATTGCGGTCACTAATCAGCTGGTGATCCTCAAGGTACCTCATGAGCTGGCAGTTTACAATGGACTACATTGTTTTGGAGAACAAGGAGGTGATGGCGATAGGCCGGTAGTTGGACGGGTCTGAGCGGTCGCCTTTTTTAGGGATCGGGTGGACGAAAGGTCTTCCATGATTTTGGGACTATGCCTAGGGAGTAGGAGTACCAGAAAAGACGCGTTAAAACCGGTGCCAACTCTGGAGCACACGTCCTCAGCACAATTGGGGGGATTCCGTCAGACCCACTCGACTAGTGGATATCCAGGGAGAGGAGTGCTTTGCGAACCGAGCGTTGTGTGAACTGCACTTCCGGCATGGAGGAGTTTAAACATATTTCCTCTCTGACGTATACGCAACCTCCAGTCCGGGGCACAAAGAAGTATTCTAATTTGTACCCCGGGTGGGAGAGATATGAAGTATCAGCCGGAGAGGACACCTGAGTCTCGTTTAAAAAGAGTAAGGCCAACTTCACCATCTCGTAGTGGACAGCGTTAAGATGGGAATGGAGTCCTCTGATGTTGCAAAAATTCACGGATAGCGTGGCGGGGGTTGGACCTTGGTCGTAATGCTCCGCTTGTCCCGAGCAGTTTTAATCGCAAGCGGAATTTCACACCCTCCCCCTAGAATACGTTGGGCAGCCTGAGCAACCACACTCAGGAAGAGTAGGATAACTTGGTTGTGGATGCTCAGCGATTGATTCTCCGTCACCAGTGGTGCTGATACCTTCCTGGGGTAGTTTTTTGTTTTATTCCGCTACCATGTTAGAAATTAAAGCACAGGTAAACCTCTACTTCACACTGGTATTCTGTGAGATCGTGGTACCACCCCGGTTTGAGCCTACCCATCCGTGCGGCAGCAAAATCTGCCGCGGCTCTACCACTGTAAATTTAATTAAATGTAAAACATGTACATGTATTTATTATGTATGTATTTAATTCATGTAACATAATTATGTTATTTTTAGTTCAGCTTGAATGGCTAATAATGAGTTATAAGATTAATAAACCTTTCTTATACAAATAGCATATTTAAATAAACGATTCATATGTTGCCGTCCACCATATGCTCCTAGGAAAAGAATCATGAGTTATGATATTATCTACATTAATAATTTTAAAGTTTAAAGTTTAAAAAATTATAAAATTTTGCTTTATACATAATATTTTAAATATTCTCCAATTCTCCCAACATTATTATCATTTCAGAACCTTTGGTCCTCGTATATTTTTAACTTCCCGCTAAGAAAGTTGAACATTTTCAAAAATAGGAACGATATTGGTTTCACCCCGATTTTCGAAAATCGAGTTTCCATAAGATCTCGATGTTTTGAGATTCCAGCAAGCTATTCTAACCTCAATAAATGACGTTGATCGCCGTTTGGAAATCGGAACATTTGTTCGTGAGATATCGAAGGAGAACTAATTTGAAAAATACGTTTTTTTAACATAACTTCGAGATTTTGCAATATAATTTGATGAAATTTAAAACGTTTTGCTTTTGAAATAAGCGGAAATTTCTAGGGATGGCCTGCAGGGTCAACCAATTTTCTAATTTCTTATTTCAACCTTTATCTTTTCCTTGAACGATCACTCAAGAATGTAAAAATTTAACGCCAATACGCTAGGCAATCGGGTTGGTGAATACAGAGCTGATGCACTAGTGACTCCGTACTTCATTACTAGCTTATAAGATTTAGATGCGTCCTTTTTTTAAATAGAAACATAATTCGGGCACTAATATCGGAGTGAGGATAGCGAAGAAATTTTTATGTGAAAACCTTTACATGGAAAAGAGTGTATAACGCCTCCTAAACACAGACGTCATTTGTAAAAGAGTTTATCTAGTAGGAAAGAGTCCACGGCACTGCCCAATTTATGTTGGCGGACTTTATGATCACCAAATATTTCTTAATAATTTATTAATGCAAACCTCTCTCTCTCTTTACATTTACAAATAAAATTCTGGCAATTTATCAAGGAAAAATCAAAGTGAAACTAAACTGTTGGAAAAGTTACTAATAGCTGTTATTAAGATACAACTGCAAATTGTGTAGGAATTCGCAATGCTCGCTACGAAACTTGAGCATAGCTGTTTTAGATGCAGTGGAGGCATCCAGAAAAGCGAATGCACCATCGATTACAAACTCACATTCATCGATCATCTTTGCAGAGTTGGCTATTTTTATATTACATCATTCATGATCTAAATGTATTGGAATATAAACTGAAACTGCGTACTATTCATACATTATATATTCATTTAAATGCTTATAAGAACATTATCATTAAAATGCTTTAAAAACAAAAAACGAATAGAGAATTACGGCTTTAAATTACGCAGTACCGCTATCAATTTACATCGTAGCATTAAATAAGGACTTTTGATAACAAATCTAATTGTTGGATCAATAAAACCGTGTTTTGTATTGGTTTAAAAAAACTTACATTTCTATATTTACATGTTTTTGTGGTTGTATCTGCAGATATTTTATTTTAATAAAATTGATTATAATTTTGTGTTTGATTCGGAAATTTTCTCTAAAAACTAGGGTAATTGGCTATGAAAGGATTTTTTTTGTTTGTTGTTTTGTATTGGTAGTTTTTTTGATATTGGGTTTTTTTTCTTTTTAATACATTTTCCGCTATGTTTCCTTGAGCTTGAAGGGAACCCTTCAAGCCGGGGGGAATGGTTGCGCCGAAAACAGGTAGAACCTCTCCTCACTTCCGCTCTTTTCCCACACGGGCTTGCGCAATGGGGCTATATTGGTGGCCTTATGTTGATCGCTCAATGGGAGGTACACTGGCCAAAAGTGAAATGCGGAAGTACGCCTCCGGCGCAGACTGGCAGTTATCGTCGATTTGCAACGCAATCTTGGGCGTGATAGCACCCTGTGGCAGTCAATCCACAAAATAGAACAGTTCAAACCTTAGTCGTGACCGCTTGCAATGTGCAATTTTGTCGTACACTAATGCAATATAATTCGTCGTGGCGTTCAACAGTCAATACCAGTGCATTTGCCGTCGCGCACCACCACTAGTTGCAACGCAGTTTCATCGCCACGAGGATTTGGAGAGAGGCCGCTAGCAGACACCCCAGGTAAGCCTGTTCCTTAAATCTTGAGCTGTTTTATTTTGTTGTTCTCTTTCCACAACAGTTCATATTTTCCGTCATGCCGGCTAATGTGTTAAATCGAATTGATAGCAAGTATATTTGTCCAAAGACCACCACGTGCCACGTCGGTCATTTTGTTTTGGTTTATCGAATCACACCAATACAGTTCACCATTTGGTTTAACCCGCAATACCTTTTGTCATTCGTGCACCCAATCATTTTGGGGTCATTAGTCCCGGAATCGAACCCGGGACTCTGTCGCTCAACCACCGACTGACATTCTATGTTTATCATGCCCTTTCCGTTACTTTGTCTTTCGCCAACTTCAAAAATAACCCCCTTGCAATTTTTTCTCCTGATTTTCTGAGCTGCACTTTCGCTGATAAGGGATATCTGAGACCCTTGGTCCGTCGGCGGCCTTTACATTCACTATAGCGGTAGCTAACAGGACTTGAGATGACTAATTTCGTTCTATTTTTCAAGACACATGAGAGTGCAGCGACGTTTAGCTGTTGTTAGCTGTGTTTGGTTGGGCTGCTGCGACAATTGGTGCGGGTGTATCACGCTTGGCACAAGCATCATGCATTATGGTGTTGTGTTTTTTCCTGCATTTTTGGCATGTTTTTGTGGATATGCATTCGTTGCCGTCGTGGCTAAATAGGCAATTAATGCATACTTTCAGATTCTTCACGGTCTTCAGTTTTTGATCATTTGTTAACACGTTCGCTGCGGCACAAGGCTTATAGGCCTGATACATGAACTTGCAGTCGGTGCGGAGCGAAAATACAGCGTTCTCCCTCTGGTGCGAACGCAGTAACTTAAAGATTTCTCTATAAGTGATAAAGACAAGTATATATTTAAGATCGTCTTTTCAATGGCTATTCATTTAAATAATAAAATTTGTATCAGGCCTATCGACCTTATACCGCACTGGAGAATAAAAATTGACATTCAGTGCGGATGCAAGGCCCATAGGCCTTATGGGAAGTACAATGCCTATCTGCCTAATACCGCACTGATTGAAGAGTCAAAATCAATTAGTGTTGTGTTGACAGCTTTTACAAATGCATGTGCGTACGATTCATAAAAAATGCATCGAGTCAATAAACGTTGTCGAAAAATGCTCGAGCTGTCTTTTCAAAATGCACAAGAAGTGGTGGACCAAAATAACAGTGCCAGTTTACAAGAAAAAAAACAAATTCAAATCCTTCAGGATGTTATTGTTAAGCCAGCTTCTACAAGCAGTGAAACTACAACTTTTCAAGAACCTCGCTGCAATTCATCTATTGCTTTTCAAGAACCTAGCTTCAGTTCAACTTTACACGATATCTCAATGCGGGTAAGTCCTCGAGTTAGAAAGACTTATTTAGACTTTACGCCTAAAAGAAAGAAAATACAAAAATCAGAAAACGATGTTTATGTTAGTCCTAGTACAGGCAATACTCTTCATGTACTGGAAAACGCTGAATACGGACTTGTAACTCCTATCCGCAAATATTATAATTTACGAAAAGAAACCCCAGTAACTCCGAACGTATCAAATCTTACAAGCAGGACTAGTTCAATTAGTGACATTTCATGTGCAAAATCCTTATTATGCCCACTATCCAACGAGGAAATCTGTGCAATATATGACACCCAAACGCAGAATAATCAAAGTTCATTGACAAATTTGAATATTTCTACAATTTATGGTAAAGATTTAAATCCAGATGCATCTAATAACAATTGTACTCCCAACCCTTCCGAGAAAATCTGTGAAATATATGACACTCAAACGCAAAATGAACAAAGTTCATTAACATATTTGAATATTCCTGCAAATTCTGCTAAAGATTTTGAACCCGATTCATCTGATGATAGTTATGCTCCCAACTCGTCTGACCTAGAAACTGATTCTTCTTACTCCGACGATAGTGATGGTGATGATAGCGTAATAACTTACTATGAAAACAGTTCTGAAACCGAATTAGTTCAAATACTTGAAAATACTCAATGTACAGAAAGCAATAATTTTAACGAGTGGGAAGACATTAACGATACGAAACCTGATTTCGATGAATTCACAGATAATTGTAGACCAAACATTCCGGATAATACTATAACGCCAGCAGATTTTTACAGTCTATTTGTAACGGATGAAATTATTGAGCAAATGGTAATAAACACAAACAATTACGCACAAGATCTTATTAGTAATCTAAGTAATCTTAAGCCTAAATCACGCTTGCGAGCCTGGACTCCTACAACTCCAGAGGAGATGAAAAAATTTTTAGGAGTGCTACTGGCGATGGGTCTTGTAAGAATACCACGTTTAAATGATTACTGGTCGAAAAGAAACATCTACAATAATAAATACATTAGTTCAGTTATGACAAGAGATCGATTTCTGCTAATTTTGAAATTTTGGCATTTTAGTCAAGAGTCACCTAACGACACAGACAAATTGAAAAAGATAAGGGATACTTTTAATAAGATTTTAGAAAAAATGCAAACCCTTTTGGAGCCAGGTCGGTATCTTATCATAGATGAAAGTATGATTCCGTGGCGAGGGAGGTTGAAATTTCGCCAATACATTAAAAACAAGTCACACAAATATGGAGTGAAACTATATAAGCTCTGCACTCCAGAAGGATACACAAGAAACTGTATTATATATACAGGTAAAGGAGATAATGGTCGAGAAACTAATCATGGAAAGGAAACAGTATTAAGATTAATAAAAGGATTAGAAAATAATGGAAGAATAATAATAACAGATAATTTCTACAATTCCATTGATCTTGCGGAAGAACTTATACGTAAAAAGACCTTCATGTGTGGTACTCTGAGACCAAATCGGAAAGGAAATCCTAAGAAAATAATATCCATAAAATTGAAACGAGGTCAAATAGTAGGAAAAATGAACCCAAATGGGGTAAGAGTTATAAAGTGGACAGATAAGAGACCGGTTCATATGATTTCTACGTGCCGAAATCACAATTTGACTCTTAAATCTACAGGTACGTATTACATATGTGTCATTTTAGACAAGGATGTTAGTTCATTTTTTCTGTTTTATTTATTTATAGAAGTAACATTACAGTTGGCACTAAAGCATTATAACTAGCTATTTACATAATTATTTAAAGGAAAAAATTAAAAATACATATGACGCAAAAATAAAAACAAAATATAACTAGGTAAAAATTTGAGAAATTAGGAGTATTTTTTATAAATAAACTAGTATCCGCCCGCGATAAAATCTACAAATTTTGAGAAATTTAATTTGAATAAATTTATAAATACACTGTATCTACCAATATTTTAACTTGTATTTATCTCATTTTCAGGTAAGACGAACCGAATCACTGGAAACATAATTAAAAAACCACAATGCGTCATAACATACAATGAGAATAAAAAAGGCATCGATTTTAACGACCAAATGTCCTCATATTATTCTAGCTTGAAAAGAGGCATGAAATGGTTTAGAAAAGTAATGATGGAGATATTATTTGGAACAGTCATAATAAACAGCTGGGTATTATACAATCACGGAAAACCAGTTCAAATGCCAAAGAAGAATTTTATGGAAGCAATTATTGAAGCTTTGACTCAGGTGCCGATATTAACAGAAACAGGTAATATATTTTTCCGTAATATTTAGCACTAGGTAAAGATATTCTGTCAGAAAAAAATAACTAAAAATGATAATAAAATACTTAACTGTAATTTAATACTGATACAATAACCTTATATTTTTTTCTCGGAGCAAGCTAGTTTTTATTAGTTGTTAAGTTTTAAGATAAAGTTAGCTTTAAAATAGCAACAATCTCACACGGCGTTTCCTCTCTTGGTTTATTATTTAATTTGTTTCTTTTATTACAGCTAATGAATGTGCTGCTATGCCAAAGACGAATCATACCTTCGAAACCAAAGGAATAAAAAGAAGAAACTGTGCGCGTTGTTACAATAAGCTTCGTGCAACGTTAAATAGCAAAGATGCTCAAAGAAAAACCAAAAAAATTAAATCGTATTGCGCTGAGTGCAACAAGGGATATTGCGCTAAATGTTTTTACGAAAATCATCTATAACAGATAACAGTTAATAATAAAATAAAGTTGATCTCGATATTTCTGTACTTATGTTATTTCCCATCACTAAAATTATCCCAATTATACCATTACCTAGGTGCGGTAATGGGTCGATAAGCCTTATGATTGTTTTTCTGTATATTTTCTAAATTAGCCATCGGAGCAATTTGCGACGCTAGTATAAGATAGGCTTACATTTTCTCAATAACCTAGTTAAAAAAAATATTCAATATCAAAAGTTTTCGCAGAGTTATTAGAGTTTGAAGTGACCCATATCTTACCAGGTTTATTGACCCATTGACGCACCGGTGAAAATTTTAGGTATAAGGCCTATAGACCTGGTAACGCACTGGGGGAATAATGTCTCAAATAGTTGCCGCAGCGAACGTGTTAATTCCAGAAAATGTTTATAATTGTATAAGCATGTCATTGGGAATGTCACGTTGAATGCTGACCTTGAAATTGGCTTGAACTCCTTTGTCATGTAATTGTAATTGTTCGATTTAAAAAATCTGTAGTAATAAATTAATGGCTGTATTTGTTGAGAATTTTGATTGTTTGAGTTTGTTTTCTGTTATACGTTCCTCCGTGATTACTCCATAGCGGTGAATTTTCCGTCCAAAAAATCAAGAATATCCTACAATGTTGGAAATTGTCTGCGGTTCTTTTTTGAATTAATATATTCAGAGTGACTATCAGAATCGAGTTTCACATCCAGAATAAACATGATGAGCGGTTCTCATGTGCTGATATCCACGTCAAAATTTTTAATAGAATTCAGACTTTCCAGGGTGACGCCATGCGTGCGTTTGATACAGGCCAATGATTGGGTTTTCATATTAGGCAAATTCAATAGATTATTTATGTGAGAGAAAAATATTAACTTCTTGTTATTATAACGCTTATTTAGAATATCCCAACAAACGCTATAGTTATCTGAGCTGATCTGCAGATACTGAATTAGGCGTTCACCTCCCTCACGGATCTTACTTTTGAGAGACTGCATTTTTGTGGCTTTGAGAGCGTCGTGTACACCCACTGGTTGTAATTGTCGTGGAACGTAGGTATTTTCATTATAGGGATTGTTTTCTCCCGGTGCGTCTCCGACCAAATCTCCGTGGTAATGACCTTTTTTAGTTTGTTATAATTTTTTTGGAATAGGGTTTTCATTTGTTGAATAGGTTTTCCATTTACCTATATTCTATACCGTTAAGTACGCTCTCAATATCTCAATGGGGGGGAGGGGGGGGAATCTACTTTCGACCAACGCGCTGCTAATGCTTTGTAATTAGCTGCTTGTCTTCTTAGTTTTACCTCCATGTTATTGCATACAGATACAGATGTTGGTGGTTCTGTATTTACGGTTGGTTTTTTTTGGTGGGCGTTTTAGGCACATCTTGAAATACTTCTCAAAAATTCCTTTCCGCACATACTTCTGAATTGTTATTACAGCACTAGAATTTTTCAAGTTTTCTCATCGATTCTTAATGTTTGTTGAGAAAGTAATCACTGGTTTGATCTTCGTACTCGACTAAGATTTCGTGGGTAGCTTTAAAGTCGTCATTGTTTGTTCCTCAATGTTCAGGCGCTCCAGTATTTTTTTCGCTGTGTCATACACCTCCGTTCAATGTTATCTTTCTTGAAGCTATCCAACTCCTTCTGGATGTCGGCTGTTAATTCTGACTGTTTTCGTAGAAGATCTTCCATGGTTTGTTGTTGTTGCTCTTGATGTTATATTATTTTATACATATAATACACCCTTTTGATGTTTCGTCGGATTTTTAGTAAGTTCTTATCTGATTAACGCAACTTCTCAATCCACTGGTGAGACCCACTTTGAGAGGCCAGTAGACCGATTGCTAACACCTGAAACCAAAAACCATCGCTCGAAGGACCTGATGTCGGAGTGTGTGTACGGTTGTTTGTTAAGTATGTTGAATTGATAACGTCATATGTAGCAAAGAATCACTTTATTTTAAACAATTACAAAAATGTTAACAAATTGTTATGAATGCACCCTACACTGTTGCCTAACAAAAATTCACTAAACGAAAGGGCGGTGTAGCGCCAATTGCTGACTGAATGGTGTTTGGGTTCACCGAACCTTAATCTGTTTAATCTGGTTAAAAAAACTAAAAATGGTGATGCTAATGGTTCCTTGGTTCGAATCAATTATAAATAAATCAATTATGCAACATTTTACTATATGAGGACGGTATGCGTGGTTCTTTATAACCAAACAAGATGGCTGATGTGGCACGTGGCGGGCTTGAGAAATGCATTCGCTATTATCCAATCTATTCTTTAGCCAGTGCCCTGTGCGGGAATTAAAACTGGAGCTATTAGGAGAAAGGGGACACAGTAAATTAAACAAAAGAACAGCTCAAGATAATTTAAAAAGGAAGCACTTACCGGGGTGGGTTTCTTTTTGCGGCGTCAAGGACGATGCCCCTGGTGTTGCGGATGCGTTGTAAGACGTGCGTGACATTTAAGCAAATTGCATTATGCGAACCAGTTACTAACAGATTTTTCTGCAGCCGACTGCCACAGATACAACCACATCTAGCGTCTATCTTCAACTGCGATGCAAGAGATCGAGCGGTGGCAGCGGACGTCCTTTTTATTAGCCCGCCATCTTCACTTCCATCTCAGCGGGGCGCGTTTCTTTATTGGCCGAAAAGATGACGCCTCATTTTAGCTTCTTCCCTCCCTCCCTTTCAGTGTGTGTGGAGTGAATGCGCGGATGGGATGTAGAGCGGCAATGGCTAGATAACAACCAACTAAGCAAAATGTGAGTGTAATCGTTTCCGCGCAACCATATAAATTATCCTTATTATATTTATTTATTTAAAAGTTTATGATTTATACAATTAATTATATTTTTAAATAATTTTAATTTTATTGTATACTTGACTTATAGGAATGTTTATAAAATATTCATTTTAATGAACTACACTACACCTTTAGTAACCTTCGCAGACGGATTGGCAACTACAGTATGTTATTATTTGTGCCAATATCCTATCTCAGTTTTCTGCTATTGCATCATACGATGCCCACAGGATAATATGGGGTAGTTAGTACCTAGTTTCTCCTACGCCAAATTCCAAAAACGAGAATGTTCAGTATTCGACGCGTATTTTTTATACATCAGGTAGCCATGTTATCTCAATCACTTGACGTACCATCAGGTTAGGGAGTCAGTATATTTACAAGCTGTAAGTAATATCATCTTAGCGACCAAACGTGACAATGCATCTATTGCTTGCTTTGTATGATGTTAGTTGCAGGTGTCCATTGTTATCTTAATCGCTTACCGTCGAGTTAGGAAGATAGCGTAATCAAAAGATGTGAGGCATTTAATCTAAGTCCTCAAACGTAACAATGGATCTATAGCATTTTTTGTGTGAAGTTACTGGCAGGTGTCCAAGGGTAATCCACCTTCAAGAGTGAAATTTTTCTCCAAATCTGTGTGAAATACCTATTTTAATCAAAAATAATTATAGTCGATATAACGCAGCCAATTTACTTAATTCGCCTTTCAGTTAACAGCCTAGCCTTTTTATTTAACAGCGCCGTTCAACTAGAGTCCTGAATGATAATCGTAATTTAGCTGACTCGTTGAAGGAAATTAATAAGGTGACAATGACACGTAATGTCACTAGTATGTACCTAATTATGCGTTATGCGCTATATTATATTAATGTACGCAGCTTTAGTGTGGCCGAAAGGCCACCCTAAAGTCATTAATTGCGCATGAACAGCGCATTAACCTACTATCGCTGATATTAAAAGATAGATGCAATGTTGTATTAAACGCATAGTCTGAATATCATTCAGACCGCCAGTTGAACGACGCCGTTTAATAAAAAGGCTAGACTGTTAACTGAAAGGCTAACTAAGCTAGGTGGTTGCGACAGATACACTGTTGAAGAAGATATCACGTAATAAACGTTCAAAAGAACATGGAGTCGAATTAAAAACCTCCCACTCGTTTTTTTAGATGGTTTTTCACATGGTTAGCGCTCGCTGAGAATTTCACAGTACGCGTGAAAACCGAGTTCGATCCCCCCAAGCACCAATGAAATTGTTGAAATTGCAATTTTAAGTGCAGACTTACCACGCACTTGGCGGTAAAGGAAAACATTGTGAGGAAACCCTCATGTCATCTCAGCCGTAATATATAAGAAAATATAATATATAAAAATAAAAAAAAACAAAGACGTTTGTTCGCCAGCATGCATTGATGCACCGCGGCGAGCACTTTATTGCCCTAAAACCCTCCCAGAAATGAGGGGAGGTCTGTGTCCAGTAGTGGGAAGTATAAGGCCGTAACTTAAACTTTAACTCTTTTTGAATTCGGCAAAAAAAGGAGAGGGCTGTCTTAAGCAGTGAACTATTTATGGACTGATGAAAGAAAATTATACATTAAAAAAGTTTAATTTGTTTTGTATATAACAGTTTTACTTTATTTTTAAATAAATTCTATATGCACACATACTATTAAATTGTAACACAAAATAAAGAGTCTACAATAGAATAAGTTAACATATATTGTTTGTGTAGAGTTCGTGGTGGTTTAGAATACACAAACGCGTACTTTCAAACTTTTATTAAATTGAAATTTACATCTGACTGTTGGCGCGCCGAGAGTAAAGTTCAAGGCGGTGGATGCGGACTGTGACATGCATAACTAGCCATTCTCATATATACATATAATAGGTCTAATTTGCAATTTATGAAGACGGTACGAAAATAAATTTAGAGTGCATGGCTGGTTTGTAATTTCTTGTATTATGTAGTAAATCCGTATATTTTAATATGTTAACCCGCGCTGTCAACGTCATTGCGGCTTATAAATAAAAAATAAATATAAGCCGACTTCAAAAACCAAAAAGAATGAGATTATTTCATTTTAAATAATCACTGCTGAAAGCCCGTCTTCAGAAACTATTACCGTTAACGTTACAGACCTTAAAGTCCACGGCTGGGCATAGGCC